TATTTTTTTTCAACCAAGCGAGTGACAGATAGACGTGTACATACCGCTTCATGGATTTCAATGCATTGGCAGATTTTTTATGACTTTGAACACTACATAAAAAAAATTCAGAACTGCTCACAATATAAAACTTGAGATAGTCCCCTAGTCGAACATATTGTGAGCAAGATCTTGGAATCTTGGGATCGGTAAGCAAGATTTTATCAAGATCTTTAAAAGATAATTCGTTTATTCAGATCTTGATCATATCAGATTTATCTGTAATAAAGATCTTGGTGAGATCATGTCATGGTAAATTCCGATTTCCAGAAAATTCAAAAAAGTGACTATAGGACAAATTTCATGGAAATCTAATTGAATGCTTTTAAGGATAGTCATAAAAACTCTTCTAACAAAAACAGAATATAGAAATGAAGTTGAAGTCTGAGTTACGGTTAGGTTGAGTTAAGTTGGGGTGCGTCAAGTCAAGTAAGAATATATATCTATATGTCTATATAAAATATATGATTCAATCTCGGGTAGGATTGGATTGGGTTGGGTCGGGTCGGGTACTTGACTCAGCCCAACTCGAAATCAAATCATCTGCTTTATAGTTATCTGTAGACATATATTCTTCATTGACTTGATCCAACCAAACCCAACCCGAAATCAAATCATCTATTTTATATTCATCTATAGATATATATTCTTCATTGACTTGACCCAACTCAACCCAACCCGACCCAACTCGATCCATCCCAACCTGAGAAATGGACATTTCATTTGTCAGATGTTGAAAAATTTGAATTTCCAGGAAATCGGAATTTACCATGCCCTCGGTAAGATTTGTTTCAAAATTTCTTAATGTCAAGATCTTGAGTACAACAATAGCGACATCATTAATTTATTTTCGTAATCAAAAATTGTTCAATTATCTATACATTATATGCAGGAAATATGATTATTGATTTTTCGATAAAAAAGATTTGGAAGAGATTTGCATTAGTGAAGGCATGTGATACCCAATGAAATTAAAGACTTAAACAATAAAGAGAAAAGCAATAATCCAAACTGTTTAAACCTGAATTCATTTTTTTCGAAGTTTACTCTATATTTATAAATGCTGTCGATTTTTTTTGAAGAAAAGACTCACGATTAATTATTAGTTCTTCAAAGTAAAAATATTGTTCAGATTTCAATTTTTTTAAAGAGAAATTTTTGGTGAAAAATACAAAATAATATAATTAATGCTTTAGATTTTGATGTTAATAGTCTCATCATCAGATAACTTTTTTGTTCAATGCATTTTCTCTAAAGTAAGAGTGTAAACATATTGTAGAGATTTTACATTTTAATTTTGTAAAGACAGCAAGTCAACAGTGACGACGATGGATCTTTTTTTGTAATAAATATAGATATATATATATATATAAGTTTTTTTATTTTTTAATGAATTTTTAAAGTTGTTTTTTGAAGAAATAGAACAGAAAAAAAAGAGAAACAAAAGAAATAAAAAAAGTAATTATTTAAGTTACGCTAGGCCTTTTGAATTTTTCTTTCTCAAGCGAATCAATATGGAGAATAGAAGTGTATACATTATTCAACAAACACGTTTTTTGCATTAATTAAAAATTTTTTGATACGATTTTCATGAGTATGCATCAGATCACGTTTAGCAAGATGAGTATGTTTCATGATAAACTATTGTCTATTATCATTCTTATGTGACTCTAGATTACATGAACATAATTCTTTGATAAATAGAATTTGCACAAATATGGAAATAATATATATCCTAATATATCCAGGGTGTGGGTGTGGGTGTTAGTCTCTATTAATCAACATTCATATTCACACTCACACACACACCCCAAACAGAATATTGAACAGATGAACATATGTTATTGTTTTGCGTAAAGGAAGTAGGGAATATGCAGCAGGTAAGCCTATCAATAAATAATATTACATCTGACACACATAATACTAAGCAGATATCTCTTAGAACTAAACTTGTTTACTTTTCCATATAATACCCATGTAATCATAAAACGCATTTTTGGCGCATTTAAACGCGTCTGGAATTGAAACAGCCTCCAAACGCATTGAAATGCGTTCATCATAGGAGTGTTTGAACGCGTTGCAAAGTCTTGCATGCGTTCAGATGCATTTCGTGACTAAAACGTATCACAACTGATTTACAGTAGTTTTTAAACGCGTTTCAATGCGAACAGTATGATTTTTGCATCGGAATGCGTTCATACCTGGAAAGAATATTAACTTAGACGCGTTTGAATGCAATTGCTTTTACGTTTGCATCCAAACGCGTTTTCCCTGTATGCAACTAATGCTTTTGAGTTCCAATCGTGCATGTAAATGTAGTTTCTTTTTCTGTTTTGCATAGACAAGATGCATCTGAACGCGTTTCTAGCTGCAAATTCACATAGTGCTATTAATAATACAGGTTACTTCGTCACAGTACGCGTGACTAGATCTCGAACAGTAAACTGAACTACGTATTTTTTATTTAAAAAAGTATAAAAATTATATAGTTAATTATATAGATGACGTATTTAAGTTTTACTGTGTTTCGAATTCTTAAAGAGGACTCTTCTTGATAATCTGCAGTCTCAAATATCAGTGGCTAGCATGGAATAAAGCAGAATATAAACACAAATAGTTGGATACGAGAAATCTCATCATGTTTGTGTTCAGCATATAAAGTCATGAAGACTTAGTTAATCTGTGAAATAGAAACAAATGAGTACACGTATCAAATTTTGAAATGTACAAAACATTCATTCAAAAACGGTATTACAATAATATTATTTTGCTACATGTCACTACCAGCACTTTTTTCCCGAAATCAATTTCGCTCTTGTATCACACATACGTTAAGCGTAGCAATTTAAATTTCAAAATAAATAAAATTTAAGTATCAAGCAAAAATGTCCATTTTAACTCAAACATTAAGTTCAAAGTTAGTTTCCATGTAAACCTATTAGAGATACAAACAGATAAGAAGTAGAAGAAACGAATGAATCTGGATGCAGCTCAGACACAATGGTAGAGTTGCTTTCAAACACAACTTGAAATAGAATTGCGTCTGAATGTGGCTAAAAACAACTTAAAATAGCGTCTAAATGCAGTCAGAACACAAAATGTGCATTCAAACACTATTGCCATCGGGCGTTTAGATGCATCCATGTGCAACAAATATTTTATCTGGGTTGGTTATGAACGTATTAACAATACATTTAATGTTTATGTGTTAAAGTCTAAAGTTTTTTCTGCTTCTTCATATACAAATTCTTACACAAAAGAGTCATGTGATAGAAGAAACAAAATGTATATAATTGTCTACAAAATATGCAATTCTTTAAATTTACTTTCTTCAATTTCCACTATTTTTTTTGAAAAGTAAATTCTATAAATTTTATCTTCACCTCGTTATGATTAAAAACTTAATTCAAAGTTAAAAAGAAAAAGAAAAAATAATTACTTAATTTGAATTTAAAATTTAAATTAATTTTTTTTTACTTTAAAAAGACAAAAAAGTTAAGATGCTGCATCCATTGAGCATTTATTGAATAAGCAATTAATTATCGAAAAAACCGTTTTTCTCGTATTCTGTGATCCAAAAACTATAATTATTGTTTTTATAAAGTTAATCATATGTAACCGATGTTACGTATGCAATTTTAAGTGACACTGATAAATTAAAAAAATGAAAATATTTCAAAGTTTATATAATTTAATGAAGCAATTGCTATAAATTAATTTTTTTCTCTATAAAAAGTCACATGATAATAACAGATAAGACTGTACGAGTATTTATAGCTTCGTGGTAAGTTCAATGTCTTTCATTCTGTAGGCATCATGATCGAATCTCGTTTGTTGCATTCTATTCAATAACTTAGTAATGTGTTACATTGAAATAAAAATATCATGTAGCGATGAAAATGGATCGATACCATGATATAAAGCACAATTTTTTAAAATTTAACAAATTTTGGATATCCTAAAACGCGTTTCGACGCGTCTAATAATCAACAACGTCAGGATGCGTTTCTCTATTAGAACGCGTTAGACCACCAAAAAATGTTGTATTTTAGGCGCATCCAAACGTGGCACAAACTTAAACGCGTTTGTCTGCATTGCAAACTGGTATCGCGTTAGAACACCCGAAAATGTTGCATTTTGGATGCATCCAGACGCGTGAAATAATATTGCTGGCAAACACTCGGGGACGCGTCGAAAATTAAAAGATGGATACATGGGTACAACGCAGAGTTGTAATCGATCAAGACATACTAGACAAATCCGGTTCGGTCGGTCTAAAAATATTTTCAGACCAATAAAAGCCGGCGAGTTCACAAAGTTTTTTAGGTAATAAAATCGATATTAGAAGTCACTATTAGTTGGTTAATGGAAATAACTTCAAAAAACATTTTTACAAACCTTAAGGAGGAAAATCCTTGGTTCTAATTTTTCATATATGTTTGGTTGCTCAAAGATGAAAATGTGAGATATCTATATACAGCATGACAAAACCAGTCATTTAGTCATCAATTGACTGGCACATACCAAGTTTTGAATTTTCTCACTCAACTTTTACAGACAAACCTAACGTTTCTCTTGAGGATGGATGTGGATGTGGGTGAAGAGAAGATTAACATCCACACCCACACCCACATCCATGACGATCCCTAATTGCATTGGATGTGAATGATTAGGTGACAAGTTAAACGGTTGCCGTAAATCAAATTCGAGAATATATTACCAAAGCGAACGATGATATCGATAGATAAAATGCAGCTATTCAAAAATATTCTTCTTAGTGTAGGTCTATTTCTGATTATCAATCTTTATTTTTCATCTCTGCTGATTTCAATCCTTTCGTATTCTTGGCTTTTTAGATATGAGAAATAAATTTTAAAAAAACAGCGAGGAAGAGAGAAGAAGAGAATGAAATAACAATGGTAAGTGATGTGAGTAGAATTGTCTTATGGTGTGTGACTCTATTATTGAAGTACCAATGCAACCTAAACGAAAAAACATAAATCAGTATATGAACATTGAAAACGTAAAACAAACTTTTTCGGCAGGTATCAGTGGACATTTCCAATTGTAGATGTAATATTGAATATTACCATCACCGGCACCAAATTTAAGTTTTTCTAAAAATTCCTTATTATCCATTATATCGAGCGCATTGAACACATCGAAATCACTCTTGAAAAAAAATCATTATGAAAATGAAAAAAAAACGTTCGTTTTACTCCTTACATTGTGTGCTTGCACAAGACAATCATTGACGAGATCGGTCAGTAGTGTTCGACTGGCAGCATAATAATACATGTAGCATGAATTCAATATCTTATATTGTGGATGATTCAGAATTGTCGATGGTAAATGATAGTACGATATGAAATCGGTTATTTCATCTTGATCATTCTATCGAGAGGAAAAATTCAATCAAATAGTGAAAAGAAAAAAAAATAATGATGAGAGTTTTTTTGTTACTTCAACAACAAATGCGCTCACGATGGTCGGCCGATTTTTACATAAATATTCAAATTCATCAAGGGAAAACACCGGCGCCACGTCGAATTTTGTCAGATACTAATTGAGGAATGACATAGGACAACAAAAAAACCAACGTAAGAGAAAAGCGACATACTTGAGTAAGTAATCTCCAAGCTTGAGGTATATCAGCATCGCGCATCTCGCGAAAGCCTGCCACTTGTGTCGTCTATTTGAAGAAAAAAAACACCGAAAAATTGACTTAGAAAACAATACACATTAGAGTTTCGTCTGTGATCTATAAATATTTCTTGAGAATCACACAAATCGACTGTTCGATTCGTCTTTAAAATTCATCGATATATGCGTATCAGACGCTAAATTACATTGACAGGTGACATTTGATGTATGCAGATGTAGTTTTTGGTGGATAGTGTTTAAAAACTACATGAGTGCCTTAACTTCGACAGGATCAACGGAATCGATTGAAAAGTATTTCAAGCCGAATGATTATACTATCGATTCTGAGTACTGTTCGAACGATACTATTTATTTTAAAGTAAAATCAACTGAGCTCAAGATCAATTTGCTCTGCTGTCAATGTACGTATCATTCACAATTATCGAAGTTTTGTCCATCTCTGAAAGAGAAAACATGTCGAAACTGAAAAAGTCTAAAATGGCTAATGTTGAAAAGGATATATCGCACATGAAAAGTTTGTATTTGGAAACGATACTTATTGTTAAGAAACAAAAATAAGTATCTCTCTTCGGCATTCTCCACTATTCCTTCACATCGGAGTGGTTCGTAGTCCGACAGACTGCATTTTGGAAGCGTAATCATGGCAACCGCTCTTAGTCAATATTCGAATGAATCATTCGTTTGTCTCGTTTTTTGTTGTAAAATATGATGACTGTACAGATAAAGCAAGCAAGAAATGGCCAATTGCATCTTAATTAAAATTGTTAATAGCTACACTTTCAAAAAATGGGTTCGATGGAAAATCTAAAAATATTTTTCTCACAGATATCCGGAAAGAGTCTCTCTAGGTTTCATGCGAATTTTTTTTAAGGATTGTTATAAAATCTAACAAGATTGTTCATATGTGCCTATAGGAACTATAAATTTTTCTATTTGAATTCCAACCGTTTCAGTTAATTCTTGTCCGATAGGAATGGACATTTGGGAAAATGTCACTTGGAATTCCAACCAAGATGTATTCTTTTTTTATCAAGATAGTCAATTTTTCTAGAAAATCTTTTGCAAAATTAGAAGTATTTTTCTTTAAAAAACTATTATTCATTTCAAAATAGAAGAGAGTTGAGTATTTTTTGAAAACTCAAGAGCACAAGCAGCTAGACAAGTCATGAGGTTTTTTCCATTTTCAAGAGCATACTAGAGGACATAAACTTATCTGAAAACCGCTGAGTAGAGCAAGAGAATGTTGCCTAGTTTCTATCCAATATCCTGAAAACTATCGATCAAAAATCCAAAAAATTTCATTTTATTGAAAGCATTCTTCTGTTCCAAGTTTTGTTTTGTTGCGTTTATCTACTAAAGACATGCTGTAAAGTAAGGGTCGAGTATCTTTCACGATCATTGGCCAGAAATTTGATATTTTTGGTGTTTTTCTTTTAAACAGAGACTAACGATCAGTGACCATTCTCAACTCAATGATTTTCAGGTAGATTTACGTCCACTTTCACATGGTAACAAACTCCTTGGGTTCTTGAGTTACTCACTCCGGTTCTATTTTGAAATAGATAATGGTATGTCGATAATAAAGCATATATTTGCACTCACTGTAAACTATCCAGGCCGAACAATCAGACGCAAGATCTTATACGATCTTACTGTAAGCATGTTCGCCTTGGGTATTTATAGACAAAATGTCAAATCAAATCCCATTTCGCTCGATTTTGTCGGATATTCATCATAGTATGCCAAAAATTAATAGTGAAGAGACGAATCCGTTTCAACAGCTACTATTTATCAAAGGACGTCTCACTTCACTATCTAAAAAAGTTTCTTTTCGTGATCCTGTCATTTAGAATGTAGATATGCACCAAACCGGATTTGGACTTCGATAATCATCTAGAAGTCAGAGTTTAAAAATATACAGATGTTTGCAAAAAAAAGATTGGAGAAAATTAAATTTTTTTTTAGATGTTTTTATTATTATTTGATGCAATTGCGAACTTCTTTTTTTCAGGGCTAAATCTTCGATGGCTATACTGATTGTCTACAATAACTCGTCATCTTCATCAACATGGCTATGAGAATTTGCTAAACAATTCATTAACAATAATGTACCACAAAAAATGGGCTGGTCGACTAATAGTCCAGATGTGAATCTGATAGAGAACATTTGTTCAAGTGTAAAATCTAACGTTGAGAAAAGAAAACTCAAAAACATTGATGAACTCTAATAGTTTTTAATTGAAGAATTTGAAAATGTTTATCGAACAAGATGTCGAAGTTTTTTTACAAATATCTGTACGTATTTTTGAATTTCAAAAACGATCCCGAATATCTAGTCCAGATAGAAACAAATAGAAAATCCCGAATTTGTCGATATTTTTGAATCTTTCAAATGTAATATAAATTGAAAAAGCATACTCAATCGTTTGTGTTTTGCAATTTGTTAACGTATATATGAAAGAAAAGGTGAAAGATATTCGAAAAATCTTTTCTTCAATTTGACTAAGAATTTTATCAGTTCTACAGACCTCAGGTAACCGATGGAGTTTTTGCATTCGTTGCACTGTCACATTTCGTCCTAAAAAGGAAAATTTGACGTCCAACGATTTTTTGACATTGAGCAATCGATGCCAATATCTAGGTTCAAACGTATAGAAAGCATTCGAACAGACGACGTCTTTTTGTCTTTCAAAAAATAATGGAAAACAATTCATACCTACATTTGCTGGCAATACCAGGTAGGAAAGGGGCGGCTGTGTATACTGCTTGAAAAAATCCTTCCAAATGCCCACGACGCGTTATCTCTTTAATAAGTACGGGTGACAAACGTTTAAGTCGTAATTTTTTGTGAACACATAAAAAGTTTATATCTACCATTGGTAATTCTCTGTTGATTTTTTTTAACGAAATGAATAAAAAAAAACGAGACGAATTAATCATAATTACTTATCATAAACTCTCATTCGAATCGGTACAGCACTGATAAAACCAACCAATTTACCACTTTTCGTTACACGAACTCCCACATGAAGTTTTTGAAGCCATCCCGGCGCACATAGAGCCCTGAAACGATCAAAATACATTAAAAAAAAATAATTTTTTCTCTATTGTATGTAAATTACCATCGTAAAAATGGCATGGAATATTCCAATCGAAAATCATTACCATCATCTTCGATATAATTTTCGCTCAAGAACGTATACAATTCCTGTAACTAGAAAAAATGACATGTCATTTATTAAATTGTAACAAAAATTCTCAATATACTTGTTCATCAACATGAATATCAATATCATCCCAAGAAAAACCATCGGGTAATTTATATGGTTCTTGTCGTAATTCATCTATTAATTTATTTGATTCGATAGGTCCAATATTACTTGTATCAATTTTTGTACCAATCGTCGGTACGGGTTGTGTTTGCCAAAATTTCCATTCTTGTCTTGATGCTGCCTTTTCGTCATATTTCGGTGCATATACATTATTGCTAGCAGCAGCTTGTTCGGCAAGTGTCATTTGTTTCATTAAATTTCGCATTGATTTATCTGTAAGTTTTTGCTAAAAAGAGAAATTTTTATAGATTGCTTTCAACATGAAAGAATATTTTCTATTCACATTGTTGTTCTCAGCACGTGTACTATTTCCATCGACGACATCGGTTGCGGCGGCGACGACAGCAGTAGCATCAGCTGGTTTACTCTTTGATTTTTGGCTAAACGACTTCGATGTCGTTGATGCACCAGCAGTAGAACTGTCTCCTTCATCATTTTGATCTTCGTTTCGATTTTGATCGGTCATGATTACAGATCTATAAATGAATGAGCGAGAGAAAGTGAATTGATCTTTGATCGTGATTACAAGAAAAGTAGAGATAAAACAAAGTTTGATGATCTGTTTAGTCTTAGTCTTAGTTCCTTCTGTGCATTTGCGCACATTGGGCAGCAAGTTTCCTCCAATTTAGTTTGTTGGTTTTCACTTGCTGTTTCTTTAGCGGTTTCTGTTTTTTACAAAGCAGGGTTGCTAACCCGGCGCTTAACCCTCCTCCTTTCTTATCCGGGCTTGGGACCGGCAACGGCAGAGTTATGATCTATTTTGCTTAGTATTAAATCTGGCTGTAATCAAAAACGAATGTCGAAAAGTTGTCTTTTGCTATATACATTTAAAGATAATACTAATACAATCGCGATAATTGAATTTATCGTAGAATTTTGATGCGGTTTCTGTCGTTTCGACATCTGTTAATGAGAAGAAAAACAGATGATATTTGAAAAAGAAAAAACAAACAACAACTTTCTTTATCCATTACCAGCATAAAGTTTGTTCAATGCATGCACGAGTGAATCTTTAGCAAGACAATGATTAAATAAATATTCTGTCGCTTGTCGTAATAGTGTATGTTCACTTGGAGCACATAACAAATTCATAACTTCGACAGCTTTAGCTAAAATACGAGGATTTTGAATATAATGACATGAAACACAAATAATAACGAGATTTAAATCAAGAATATCATCAATATTTCTTGTTGATAACGATTGTGGTACCATCCGAAGATGTACTAGTAGTAAAGAACAAAGAATAGAAAAATTCTAACCACAAGAAAATAATGATTGTGCCAGTGGACATATTATCTTATGTGATATCTTTTCTTTCTCAGTATGCTCGTGTACAATCAATGATACGTAGTGTTCATAATCGTGTTACTCTTACGTTTATCTATGCATGGTTGAACCTTGTTCTCTTTCTATCGTAATGCGCTTCTCATTCTATATCACCATTCACTCGTATATTGTATGTATTGTTACTCTATTGTTCTTCTATATCTGTTCTCTCCTTGGCCTCATCATCTCTTATTCTACTCGGTTATATAAATGTGTGCTTTATATGTAAACGATGCAATTGTATGATATGAAGAAATAGAATAAAGTGTAATACCATCCACACTAACATCACCTCTATCTGCAATTGTCACACGAAGATTAAATGATATGAAGGGATAAAGTAAAGTGTGTCACCATCTCTCACACTAATGTCCCTACCACCTTCATTTTTTCGTCACAATCATATGTACATATGGCGAGCAACATGAGAAACTTCCAAATCTCATCTATCTAGTAATCTGGCAATAGAAGGCTCGAGCATCAAACGAAAATTGAACTCTAGACAACAAGACCAATCGATACATTGAATGACAAAAAAAAAGAAACGGAGTGCAAAAACTTACTCTGTCGGTTTAATGCCAACATAGCGTATTAGTAATTGTGAAATTTTTTCATAGAATTCTAAACTTGTTTCAGTCAAATCTTGATGTAGTAATGCGACACTAGCACATTGTTTAGCTCGTTTTAATGCCTGAGTGTAAAATACAAAATGATCGTCCCTGTTCTTTATTTATCAATGCATCATGAATGAATGAGGGCTATGTATAATAGGGGAAACAAGAGAGAGGGACGTATAAAGCGAATAGTAAAACCACCAAAGTGTAACGAACAGTCGTGATTATGACGCATGCACGTTATCGAGCGAATAAACCATAGGCGCATCGTTGTCATTGCATTTTATTATTTTACGATGTGACATCTTTTTTTCGCTTTTTGCCTCTCGATGAACACACTATAACGGTTGTACAACACGACGACAATAATAAGCCAAAAAAAAGTGCACACCCGATTGTCAAATTGTCTTTTTACGTATGAACACTGAGGAAGAAAACAGAAGTTCTGAAAATGTATGTAAATATGTATGTGTACTATCCAAAAGGAAGAGTGAAATAAATTATCTAATTACAATGACCTCCCTCAATACAAAAATCGAGTTACGTATAAGAATCATTATTGGGTTCAAACATCTTTCAACATGTTTTGTTGTTCATTTGACTCAGCACGCAAATCAGCTTATCTCGTATGGATTCTATTTCAATCTCGACAATCTGGCCGAATCAAATTCATTATAATACTGGTTATTTGCTCCCAAGAACATTAGTGATTACCAAATTGATCTCCGAAATCTATTGGGAAAAAAAAACTTTGTAAAGGAGGTATTCTTTGGGCCCGGGCCGAGCCATAAAGAAGTGGTCTGGTTCGAGCCTTGGGACGCACTAATTGAGCAAAGAAGATCATGAATGAGTTTTATGAGGGTGAGGGTGCGTGAGGGGTGAGAACAGCTATCATGATTGGTTTCGATTCTAGCAACGGAATTCTCTTCAGATGGTAAATAATTCTAAATGATTCAATGAAAGAATCACAAGAATCAGTTTATACTGATAGGAATAGATTACATAATCTGTCATATTGATAAACTCAAGGGGGGGGGGGGGAAAGACTATTCGGACATTCCCATCCATTCTGATCCATTCCCATCTATTCCCATCTATTCCCATCTACTCCCATCTATTCTCATCCATTCTCATCCATTCCCATCCATTCCCATCCATTCCCATCCATTCCCATCCATTCCCATCTAGAGATACACCAGTTTCAATAGATTGGGTCCCAGTCCGACTGGGTCCTCATCTACCTATTCTTTGGAGGGTACTCGGGTCCTGAAGTCTCCATATTTGAGATACGTCTTGGGTCCTCAATGGCTATTATTTGGAGATACCCTTAGGTCCTCATTGACTATTATTTAGAGGTACTCTTGGATCCTCAGTGGCTATGGTTTAAGATACTCTTGCGTCCTCATATACCATTGTACGGCGGTACACCCAGTTCTGAAGTCTTATTAAAATTCCTCCACAGAATATTAATCCATCGTATAATAGAAGCCCATATGGAACGGAAATTTAGTCCCAAGATTATCGCTTTCCAAATACATTAGAAGTTCAGCTGTCCAAAATGAGCACAGAATGGATGCTTTCAAAAACTGAGAATTGAACTCATTGCTTCTCAGCATTTAATTATAGATCACTTTTACATGTCTCAATTGGTTTGCTTTGTATACGTTTTCTATCAAAAGAAAAATCAGAAAAGCTAACGCCTTTCGAGTGCTGGACAATATATACCAATTCGTATTAATATGGCATAGTTGTCCTAGAAGCATTGAAAAGGTTTAACGTATGAAACAACACCGTTCTCTTAGGTCTTTTTTGTGAAGAAATCATCTACAGCTCAGAAACCAAATGATGCAAACTTATACTAATTTTTGTGGCAATATGCATAAACCTTTCACCGAAAAATGAAGTTTCTGAAGAAACTGAAGTATAATTGATACGAATTATGCACGAGTTCATCACACTTGAATAACAATGTCAGTGTGAAATCCTATGATATAAACTATTATAATAGGCAGAAGTCTGAAGTATCTACCTCTCGAAAATCGGTGATCCTTGCTTTATAGTTAACGGATCACTGCATATTTCTCTGGCAGTACGTAAAATATATCCATTTCCATATCGGAACTGTGCATAGGTTTCTAGGATCCTTTGTACTTGTGTGCTAATTGAATCTTAATGGCAGCTTCAAAACAACGACTGAAAATGGAGCACCTGCACAAACTTATAACTTTCACAATAGAATAAAAGCTCACTGAACTTTCATTGCAGAGAGACGGATGGTGGAAGGATTAACAGAACATCAGGACCTAAGAGCACTTCCATATAATAGTACATGACGGGTCAAGGGTATGTCTAAATAATAGGACTTCAGGACCCAAAGGTACCTGTAAATAATAGTCAATGAGGGCCTAAAGATACCTCTAAATAATAGGGCTTGAGGACCTAAGGGTGCCTCTAAATAATAGCCCATGCCATCTATTCCCATCCATTCCAATTAGTCTTTTCCCCCTTGGATAAACTCATATCATAGTAGTGAGAACAGCTACCATGACCGGTTTCGGCTCCAGAAACGGAATTCTCTTGCATAGGGATGTTTTGCTTGTGTTTGTATCTATACTTTTGGTTATGTATTCTATTTTTACCTAGGTTTGTTTTGAGTCGTTGAATGAAGGAAGTGTGCTTTGTTTTAAACTTTATCTAGAACGAATACTGGAACATTAGTTTGTTTTTGAAAGGTATGTCGGGAAAGAAGGGTTTGTTTTTTTTATTGAAATTTAGTTTTTGATGTTACCAGTAACAGAAGCTATAGGTTTAGAATTATCAATGGGTGCGGAGAGAAAAGAGTTTGAATGATAGTTTTGTGTGATGTTTATCATGGTTATTTTTTGTGGACGTTGAGATTTGGTGATCCGAGTAATAGTTTAAGTAGATATTCACTTTTGATGTGTTTGATCATTGACCGTCCCTGTTATTGATGATTTCTTTTCGTTGTTTTTTGCGTTCTATTGAATAGTGAAATGTTAGTTGGATATATAGGAAGAGGAGAAAATTTTCACAATCGGTAGGTTACTTACGGTTACGTGGTTTATTCTTCAGTAATGATGGTCGTGGTCGTTTTCGTACAAGTTCATGTGTGCCATTACGATGATTTCGGTTGCCTATCACCATTTTAACGTTCTTGGTGGCTGATTGATTGAAAACACCTTTATGGACTTCATAAAGACCTGGTTTTATTGAGCAAAATCGTTTTTTCATATAGATGATGAATAAATATATAATTTACTTTCATTTTTGTTTTTCTCAGAAGTTTGACCATTTCTCGATTCTGTTGTCGTAGTTTTTTTTTTTGTTGTTTATCATTTGTTTGTTCATTATCAATCTTAACTGGTGTTACGAGTAGTTCCACATGTGATTGATGATCCATTGTTTGACTCAATAATTAGTTACGCATAAGAAAAAATTGTTTTTCATCAACAAAAAAAGGTAATAATGATGTTGAAGATATATCTTGGGGCAAAGCTGGATGCTACCAAGCGGGTCCACAGGCTGTGGATAGTGGAACGGCCATTAGTATGATGGTTAGCTGCGAATAAGAACAAGCAATTGCTCAAATAAGCAGTCCCGGACAATTCGGCCTTCTTGCCAACAGGGTGTGGTGGGGTTTTGGATGGCACCAAAATACCTATAAAATGCTACAAAAACCCAAAGACCACAAGGCGAGTGTAGATCGCCAGAAGCAAGGTTCATCCGAACCAAGTTTCATAAGCCTTAGCCAGGATTGGTGAAGCTCTTTCGCCTTGACCGGTAGTCCATCAAATGGAGTAAACCATTTCAATCCAATGGAAGGCAAGGGGAAACCACCGCTGTATATTCCCAAGCACACCATAATTAACGTCAAAATTTCCAGTCGAAACAACAGCGTGAAGGAGTTCCCAGAGAGAACACTTCGCTCGGCAGGGATGTTCATGATGGACAGGTGACCCTCGACCGTCATCAGGCTACTATCCACACTAAGAACTCAGTCAGAATAGGAATCTGGAATGTAAGAGCTATGTTCCAGAAGGGAAAGCTGGGAAATGGGAAGAAAGAAATGGAAAGACTGAAGCTCAATGTGCTAGGCATATCTGAGGTCAGATGGAGGGGGGCTAGATCTTTTACAACAGATAACTTTACTATATTCTACTCTGGAGGAAATCAACACGAGAGAGGAGTAGGCATATTTCTTGACAAAGAAACCTTCAAGAGTGTAAAAGGCTTCTGGGCGGTTTCAGAGAGGCGCTACCGGGACTTATTTTTTTGGGATTTATTAGATCTTTTAAAAGTTCCGGGATTTTTTCTTCATGTGGTATAACGTGGAACAATGATCTTCTACATAATATAAATCCGTATACATTGCAATGTAAATTATCCTTGGATCGATTTTATCAATAGAATTTATTCTAACAGTATTATTTTATGATAGAGGCTGCTATAATACCTATCAAAATCAAATAATTTCCTAGCGGATCATTTTTCTGTCAGCGGATATATTAACGACATATATCTCTCCATGGAGATTCACCTGCATTTAACTCCCTAAGATGAATCGATCCTCCAGCGGATCTATTCTTTTTCCAGCGGATCTATTAATGATACATATCTCTCTATGGACATTCACCTGCACTTAGCTCCCTAAGATGAATTGATCCCGCAGCGGATCTATTCTTTTTCTAGCGGATATATTCTATATATAACAGGATTGATTAATATTCATAATCATTGCTCTAAAGTTTTTACAACTAACTAACAATACCGGATGGCTCAGTGGTAAGAGTGATGGCTCTTTGGTTCAGATATCTAAGGTTCGAATCCTTATTCGGTCACTCCTTTTTTTATTTTACTTAGAACTTTATAATTAATTTGTAGAAAAATTCCATAGAAATATCAAAATCAAATAATTTCCTAGCGGATCATTTTTCTGTCAGCGGATCTATTAACCATACATATCTCTCTATTGACATTCACCTGCATTTAATTCCCTAAGATGAATCGATCCTTAAGCGGATCTATTCTTTTTTCAGCGGATCGATTCTTTTTCCAACGGATCTATTTTTTTTCTTCAGCGGATCTATTTTTTCCAGCGGATCGGGGATCGATTTATCTTAGGGAGTTGAATGCATATGAAGCTATATGTATCTCAAATAAATCCGCTACGAGAAAAATGATCCGTTAAGAAATTATTTAATTTTATGGGGTATTTATAACAACCTCTGCAATAGAATAATGTTTTTGGAATAGATCCGCTGGAAAAAATTAATCCAATGAAAAATTTATTTATGTTGGGATTTATTGAGATAAATCCTATATAAAACATCATACTTTCACAATATAAGGTATAGAAAAAATCCCGGAATTATAAAAGATCCAATAAATCCCAAAAAAATAAGTCCCGGTAGTCCCTCATATTCTATATAAAGCAGCATCGATTGATAACATTAATCATCGTTCTAAATTTTTACAAGTAATTAACAACACCGAATAGCTCAGTGGTTAGAATGATGGCTTTCAAGTTTATACACCTAAGGTTCGAATCCTAATTCGGTCACTTCTTTTTTTTTGTAACTTAGAACTTTCTTATAGTTA